GAGATTTTTCAGACAGCGAGACGGGAATGTGTTTGGAAGTGATATTTAAAATTGGAAAGGCTGTCATCATGCTGTGTGTGTACGTCTGCATGAGAACGTGTGTGCGTGCAGGTAAGTCAGCATGTTAACAGGATGGCCTTTTTCTCTCTGCTCTCCCCTAAGGCATTCTTTCCTTCACTCATCTTTTTATATTGTGTTACATCCAACCACTCCTCCTCTCTCTCTTTTCTGTCTGCCTCACTCTCTCTGTAACCACTGCATACCTTTCACCGTTATTTTGTTTTTGGCTGCCTTGTCATGTTTTCAGCCTGTCTGTTTTGCTTTCACAGTTCCACATTCTCCATCACTCTCTCTCTCTGTGTCACACTCCTTGAAATGGGTTTACCTGTTAAAAAAACTGAGGTTCTGGAGTGCTGCCTGACGAGAGCAAGTTGTGTAAGCAGCATCACATAAAAGCATACATCTGCATTTTTGTTAAAGACATCCCCCCAGACCATATTAAATGAGGCAAAGGGAAAAATAAAATCTCCTAATCAAGCAGCATTTTGTGATATTTCTTGCATTTAAAAATATTCCAGTCCAAATGCAAATTACGGAGTCTCCCAGGCTTACCGTTTCTGAATTCAGATATTCATTTGCACATCTGAATATGCAAACGACTACGCACATCTGACACAAAAGTGTCCTTCATTAAAGGCAAAACCTACATCTCCCTCTTTCTTTGTCTAATATCTACTGCTCAGTGATTATGCATTAGTAATACTCTCAATTATAAGAATCCGCCCACACTGTTCTACACACTAATTAACACTTCATTTTTGAATTCATTTTAAAACGTTACAGTGTGGAACGGTACATGCGTTGTGTATTTAAAGGGAAATACAGGATTTACGATGCTCTGTTTACGCATTTTAATAATATGCCAGATATTTTAAAAGGAACAACAGGAATTAGTTTATGTAGTGGGGCCTGTTGATTAGGCCCATTTACCCACACAGTCCCACTGAATCGGATGGGGTGTGGATCAGCTATAAGAGCAGAAGACCACAGGTTCCACTCCTGCAGTGGACACACGCTAGCTGAAGAGTGGAACATGTAGCCAACTCTGATGAGTCTGGATTAGTGCTGAGTCAGAATCTACAATCAACAGCATGATTCCATAGAAATTATGTTATACAATCGAGTTAACCTGAAGCAGAAACTTCGGTTTGCAGACTTGCTGAATTTTACTTAAATCTAAAATGACTTGAGATCTTGCTCTAAAATCAGCAGTCTAGTGAAACCTAAGAAGTATCCAGTGTGATTTTAATTATTGATGTTGATGCTTATTCAGTTTTGAAAAATAATGAGGTGAATACACTTTGTGTTCTTTTTTAAAATTACTTTGACATCGATAAATGTCACATGTAAACTAGATAGTCTGTTTTTCTTTTCTCTCAGTCTTGAGTTTGTTCAAACTCTTTCTTGCCTGAGGTCAAACTCTATGTCGTATCACACATATCCCTCAATATCTACACCTTTAGCATACACACTTATAGAAAATGTGCACATGACAGTGGCACACAGCCGCACACACAAAGCTCTGCTCTATGAGATCATTTGGTTTATAATGAGACACAGCATACCACCATTTTGTGTATGTGTGCATATTGTAATTTGCATTGTTAGTGGCACCATGCTGTATACTCTGTATTCCAGTGTGTATCTGTACAGTATTCTCTTTTCATCCCTCTCTTTCTCTCTTTCGTATTTTCCCTTTAGCTATTTCTTTAGCTCTTCTTTTTTCCCTCCGTCTTCTCACAGGTCTTTCCTCTCTTCAAAGCCCTCTCCATTTCAACCCGACCTGCAGTTCCCTCCCTCTGCAGCTCTCTTAGCCAATATCCATCACACCATACACAGTCAGCAGGAGGGAGAGAGGAAAAGTGGTAGGGAGGGAGGAAAGACGAGAGGCAGAAAATGGGGGCGAATAAAGAGGAGGAGAAATTACTGAGACTAAAAGGCATTAACATTGACATTAACAGTGAGAAGGGAGTGACAGAGACGTGAGTGTTAAGAGGAAGAGATGAAGGTGAGCATAGCGGGAATAAAAGAGAGACAGATGGATAGATAGATGAAAAAAGGAACTGATGGAGGAAAAGACAGGGGGGACAGAGGGAGGGGACCTGACTGTGTGTTTAACAGAACTGACAGTCAAGCATGGGAGACAGAATGGTGAGTGATAACCTGTGTTAGGCTGAATTAGCTCTGAATTCTGTCTCTCCCCGTTGCTTTGTTCCTCTTCCTCCAGTACCTCATATCGACACACCGCTGTGTCTATCTATTGCAAAATAAAGCTCTCATACTCAGTCCCAGGTTGTTTCCATTACACCCACAGTGATGCAACTCATTTGAACTCATTGCCCTCATCTAAATGTTCTGTCTAGAAAAGAGCAAGGTTTTGGTTCTAGCCAGCACAGAATACTCTGCAATCGACATTCACAGCAGGCCTGTAGCCTCTGTGTCGATGTGTGTTGCCTGTTTAGAATGCAGGCAGAGTGGGAGTTAGTAAAAGACTTTGGAAAGAATCAAAGTAGGGCACTTTCCATAAAGTCGGGGGACTTTGTAAAAGAGCGAATGTTCAAAATCAAAGCAGCGGAATTCAGATTGTATCTTGTCATTTAGTTTGACCCTCCCTGCCTTGAAAATGCTCCTCACCTCCAATATGTAACAAATACTGTTAAATATCTGTTGTATGCAAACTGATCCTTTGAATTTGTTGCAATGCCCCATAAGTTATTGAATATAAATAAAATTCACTAATGACAATGGTGAATATTAGTTATTCATTTCTTTAGGTACTAAATATCTAGCGGGGGCAGTCGTTCAAAATGTTCTTTGCTTGCTTTCCCTGATTTCACTCCATACCAGTGTATGCTAAATCAGTTTAACAACATCTCATGGTAATCTCGTTATCCGACATTGTCATTTCTATATTAAACAATTAAGCAATTACCCAATAAATATGTTCCATAAGATTTATATTTCTTAATTAGAGCCCAAGTATAAAATATGCTCTCAACAAGACATGTAATTACATTTAACATCTATAAATTGTGTGAAACACTGTCTTGAAAATGCACAGAATGAATTTGTTAATCAGCATCAATACTTAATTTGCCTTCCTCATCACATATTCCCTTAACCTTTAATTGAAGTTAAAATAAAAACAATGTATCAACCTTTGGACCTTGACAGTTTTCTTTGACTTTTTAAAGAGTATGATTTTAAAAATGAATAGTGCATTTAAGGACTTGTTGTCTTATTATCTTTCCCACTGTATCTCATTTTCTCCCTCCCTTTTCCGCCCCCTCTCTGCCTCTCGCATAGTTGCCCCTGACAGCCACGTTCAGTTTCTCCTCCTCCCCTGCTTGGTACTGTCATTTATCATCAGTGTCATTCAGCTCTCCCCTTCCACATGGCACAACATCTGTTTGGGAGTGTTGCACTTTCTCTGTTGAAACAGATTCAGATACGCTGTGTGACGAGAGGCCTGGAAGCAGTTTCACCTCTTTATGTCTCGTGTCAATTTACATGCCAACCCCTGAGTGCATGTGCAGTGTATTTATGAACTCGCCAATTCTCAAAGGGGATATTCAAAAGTTCATTGTAGATGACATTTAAGTTTTGAAAAATCAAGAATCTCACTCAAGATGCACCGATGCATTATAGACTGAGCATAATTATCAGGACTCCACTGATTGATTATAATGATTTTTTTTTTCCAAGAAATAAAATATGATTTGATCTGAAGAATATGCATTTAGCAGTACATGTTGCTCACAATCATAGACTAAACAAAGATTGGAAACATGGTGGCTCCCCCAAAGTGAATCAAAAGCATCTTGATCACTACTTGGTTGTTGCCTGCAAAACAGATAAATAAATAAATCCTGGCTCCTCCATGTTGGTGGATGGCACATGGACCAAACTAAAACAAACCTATAACATGTTAAATATATTGTTCTCAAAGATGGTTTCTGTCAGGGGTGAAACCTCTTGATTGACTGGTGAGCTACTACGACACCCTTCCCTGGATGGGGGCTTTGAGATGCTGAATATTTTGCCTTCATTTGTGGATAGTTGGAGGAAGTGTAGGCTCGTCGTACATCTTTAGTTTGTGTTTTTGTTCACAATCCTTTAAATTATATTTTTCCCATTAAGTCCAACAAACATTAAATATATAATATCTAATTTTCTGTAGTTGCCACCACACCCACCGTCTTTAATGACACACTGCTGCATAAAGAGAGGGATTTTATTTATGTTGCAGCTCTAATCTGTGCAATTTGGACTAGTTGGAGTTGTCCCTGTTTTCTCTCGGCAACATTATCATGTATTGTCATGGGTTTTCATGTGCCACTTTATTTGTGACCTCACAAAGTTTAGCACCTGAAGATGAGAAAACAACAAGTAAATCACAACTCTCTTCGCACATATGTCCATCTGGTGAAAAGTAATTTACAAGCATTCAGCATTACTAAATGATGGGTTGTTCTTGACATGAAGTGTGTGTGTGTGTGTGTGTGTGCGCAAGAAGCTGTGAACCTGCGCTCTTTGAAGAGCTGTTGTTTTGATTTGGGAGCCTCTGTCCCTGTTCATTAGACCTGAAGACTGCATGTATTGCGATAATAATAATTAGTAGCGATCAAAAACAGTGGAGAAAATGATACTTGAAGTCAACTGGCATTATTAAAAGGCTTCGAAGATACGAGTGCAGCTTGGTTGTTTGCTCATAGGAAACAAGCAGGTGTTCCTGTGATCCATCTCACACATGATAAAATAAAAAAAGAGAAACGACTTTCTTTGTGCTGAGCTCAAAGTCGACTCTAGAACATATCTGAGGCATTGTGATGGAGTAAAATATTAAAATAGCACAGTTTTAGAAAACAAAGTAGGCGACTTCCCACTGGTTCAATTCAGCATTGTTGTTTCAATTGAATTCTTTGTCTGTTCTCTGGCAGATGGTGATGGCATTCAGGACCACCTCCTCCCTGTGTGTTTGGATAACGCCTGTCAGCGCAGTGCCATCTACCTGGCCAAGTCAGGCTCGCAAGAGGTAAATAATACGCACATATACTCAGTCAGTCTCCTGAGTTTGTTATCTTTCCAGTAAACCACTTCATTTTTTTTGTTTTTCGCTGTTCTGTAAGCTACTCTTATCCCATGCTATACAACACCTGTGTTCTCTCTGTCCCTCCTGCTAACAACACTCTTCTGATCACTGCTCAGCTCAACTGCTTTGCTTGCAGTTGTTGGTTCATGGTCAGAGGAGACAGAGACAGACTGCAAACTATGGATATACCTGATTGCTTTCTACTGTATTTAAATTGATTGCACATTTTATCTATCCATCTATAATCTATACCACTTATCCTTTGAGGATCATAGGGAGAATGCAGCCAATCCCAGCTGACACTGGGCAAGAGGCGGGTACAGGTCACTTGTCCATCACAGAACTAACATACACAGACAAACAATCTTTCACTCTTGCATTCACAATAATAATCAATTAAGGGTCTCCAATCAACCTAACCCCAATCTGCATGTCTTTGGAGTGTTGAGGGAAGCTGGAGAAAAGCCACACAGACTCTGGGAGAACATGTAATATAATATATCTTATACATGTAGCACTTTGTAAGGTATACTCAATACCTCAGCTATTAAAAATGGAAGTCCTTATGCTGTATCTCACAAATTTAAAAATTTGTTTTGCTCCCTCATAGTTTTCAGTTCTGAACATTCTTAAATATTTCTGTTCTGCACTTCTGTAGAAGCATTGTGAAAAAAGTTGTTGACATATCTTTAATTTGTAAACAACAACATGTCAGTTCTGTCATATTGTATGTTAACTAGTTAGTCAGTTGACAGAAATGTAAATGACAGCAACTTCAATTGACTTTAGGAAATTGTCATTGGGTTTGTTTTAGTTACATATATATTATACAGCATTTAATGAATTATCTCTTGTTTAATCAACTAATCAAGAAAATTATTTAAAAAAGAAAATGGTCTCCAATGATAATTTCTCATTAAATCTGTAAATCATTATCTTTTTGATCAAGAAAATGATCCACAGATTGTTTTTGGAAATAATTGTTGCAGGTGTACTAGTCTGGTCAACAGCTGCTCACAAACATGAATCCAAATAGGTTTCCTACAACCCATGAATGAATCATTCCAAGTGACTGACTCATATTAGAGAGATCTGATCTCTTGCGTCTGTGGTCACTGGCAAGTTAAGTTCAGGCAATGTTTGTTCAAACCACCACTGTTGCCTTTTTCAAGCTCCATTCAACCTCCTCTGAGAAATACCACCTCACCAGTGGCTCTGTTGCGATGCCAGAGCCACTGTTTCTCGGTACAATGGCTGTCTATTTCAGGAAGGCATTAAATATGTTGCTCTCTGCAGGGGGCTCACGATTTGAAAGACATCGGGGGCCGATCCAGCAGGCGTCATTTTGTTTTCGGAGCAGTACAAGATAGAAGTAATAGATATGTACACACACGTCTCATAAGATTAACATGCACATATGTGCGTGGACAGGTTCTCTCACAGTTGCCCTTACACTCTCATAAACACACACACACCTCCTCCACCACCACCACCTACGTACAGAACCATCTTGTGTGATTCTTTTCAGTTGCATCCTACCAGTTGGCAGCAGAGCCTGGTCCTTTTTTTTTCCTTCCTCTGCCACCGGAGAACTAGCTTCCACTTTTCTTTCAATCCAAAATAGAAATATTACAGGCTTATCTGCATGTCCACCCCCACACACGTGTACACAAAAGATACACACACACACACACACATGCACAGAGATACACATACTCACACTCCTTATGGACATGCCTTCTTTTGTTTGCCTGTCAGCAACAAAAAAGGAAAGATTGAAGGAAGAAGTGAGTGAAAGAGTGTCAAAGGAAAGGGAGGTAGGGGAGGCGGAGAGAGGAGGACTAACAGGCACTGATGGATAAAGTGAACACATGTTGTGTTCTGTGCCGCTATGTGTTTGAAAGACAGTCATCACTGTCAAAGAGGGAGACATGCGGAGAGGGAAGGGTGGGTGAAGTGAGGAGGAAAGCAGCCTCACTCTAAGATGCACTGCTTTCATGGAAATGGTGACAATCCCGACAACCGCATTCAACAGAAAATACCACATACGTGCAGTTAGTATGTTTCTCTGCATCACAGTAAAATTATCTAATCAGGTTGTTGTTATTTGTGGTGTAAACACTCTCTGAGCTGTAATTACATTTGATCTCACATCATTTGTGGGTGTGTGGCTCAATAACAGCGGCTCCCCAGCAATGTTAATGTGGCAGGGAGTCAGCAGATGTCTTAGCGAGAGGTACTGTATCTGCTCTCTGACATGGATAGAGAAAATAGAAGGAGAGATGGAGAGAAATGGAAAGAAAAAAGGAAAGTATAGGAGAGTGGACAAACAGAAAGGAAGGAAGAGGAAAGGCAGATTAGAGAAGGAAGTTGAGAGAAGGCAAAAAATAATCTTGCCGTTTTTCCTTCATGGCCACTTTGAGAGGAGTAGCCCATCAGACAGAATGAGGGCGGGAGATGCAGAGAAGAGGAGCGGAGAGTGAATAAGGCAAATGATAAGTATACAGGCAAAGAAGTGGCGAGCTGCCTTTGGGTGTGCATGAAGGTCCCGCTGAGTAGAAAGTAGCGTGTGTCCATAGTTCATTTGCAAACAGCAATTCACTCTGTACTTCCTGCAGTCTCAGCTAAAGCCCTGCCTGTACCTCCGCTCGCAGCAGCTCCAGGACTCTAGTTCACCATAATGGAGGAAACCGCAGGGGGGCTCCCAGCACCTCTCTGCCTCATTTTGTTTAGTCGCAGACTAACACACTGATCACATTTATTGCACTCTGGACCTTCCTTCTTTTATGTTCTGCTACACGACTGAATATAGCCACAGACAGTAGTGAAGTTGTGTGCCTGTGGGTGTTACATCTGTCTAGGAAATTGTAGCATAGAAATATTTAAAGAAAGGTGAATGTCTGAGAGCACTTCTTTAAGAATAAGCAGTGAATGTGTCTGGGCACATGGCATATGAGTGTATATTTCAGGTTCATTGCTCTTTTCCAGTTCAGTACAGGAATATTTATGTTGCAGAGCTTAAGAAGGTTTTCAGTTTTCATGGAGCGTTCTTACACACAGTCCACAGGACTATATTTTGTGGTGTCTGAAGACAGGAGAAAAGTAATTACACACAAACTAATGTCCTTAATATCACTGTATCTTCTTAAACAATATGTAGGAAGAGCAGCATGTTCCCATTAATAATTTGTGCTGTACTTCCATTGTTACAGGAAACAATACTGATTATATTGAGTTTGAGCCAATTCTGTTCTTGGCTTCTTTCAATTTCAGTTGGGGTTGTTTTTGTATGCACATTTCTTTGCATATTTGTTCTCTTGGAAAAACTCAGACTATGCGCTCATGCAAAACACACATGCCGCCCTCATGAAGTCTGAGCCAGATGCCTACTGGTGCTGCCCAGACAGTGCAAGGGCAACCAGTATGAGCCAGACAGCTTCCTCCCAGTCATCCCGGTCAGTCGGTGGCCAAAGAGGTAACACTGACAGCAGGTAGCAGCATCCCCATCCTGCCCAGCTGACAGGAAGACATATGGTCTCTCTCCACCACTGGCTCTTGACTGTATTTTTTTGTTTAGATTGACAAACTATGGCCCTATTTCCACCTGGTAATAAAATACAATCTGTATCTTGGTTTTTGTGGTTAAGGACATGTCAGTGCCATGTTTGGTTGTTGGTATATGCTGAGTCATGTAATACGGATGGGAAGTGAATCAAAATGAACAGCTGGGTTTAATGAGATGAGATTGGAACACAGATTTGATGACCAGCATTGTGGTTCCAAAATGATGTGCTTTTCAATATTTGGATTCATGCTCTACAACAAATCTAATTTGAGGAACAAACAGTAAACAGCTGGACTGGGGAAACAGATGTGCCATTTGAAGGAACTGTCCAACGATGTGAGGGAATAGTGGCATAGTTACATTTTGATGAGAAATCATTGAGTGATTTCTTCAGTTTACCAAAATGGTGGAAACCCTTGTAACCATTCTCATGTTCACAAAAACACATTTAAGACTTCCCAGTGTCAAACGAGCACAGTGTCGGTCCATTATGGTGATATGCTGCGATTTTGACCTGCAATTTGACCCAGTTGCAAACCGCTGCTGTAGTTTATTCGAGGACAAGGAAGACATGTTAAACCCGTACTGAAAACCGGGGAATGTGGAGCCAATTGCATGAACAAATATTGAGATATGCATTCCACATCCAGACAGACGTTTGTGAAATTAGTAGGGGATTCCTAATGCTCTTTCTTTATTATGTTTCAATATTTGGTACCTGTGCTTTGGTATTTCAGAATACTTACAGAAATATATTGCATCTTCTTATCAACTTTTACTGAAAATACTGTCTAACTGAGACAATTCTGGAATTGCAGATCATATTTTACTGTCAAAAGTGTCAGACACTGCATCTCCCCCAAAAATGTCATTACATACATATAGAGCCATAATCTGAGCCATGATCGTTCGGCTGCCATGATTATAGCAAGAATATAACTGAACCTCTGCTTTGCTGAGAAGCAGTCATGTGCTCTTCCCACGCACTCGTTGGTTCAGGCCCATGCTGTCTTTCAGTGCCAGTTCTAATGTGATGAGCATTACAGTCATTATATCACTGGGATCATAAAAGCCATTGCTTCATTACAGGCCTGTTTTATTCCCTTTATTTTATTGACTTGGACAGCCTTGTTGTCTGCCGATGTTACAGCGCCTGCCCACATTGCACCGTAAACTCATCTCCCACCTCCCACCTCCACCACAGGCCGCCCGCATTTTAATTTCTTGGCCTAATGAAGCGGGATCTCTCTCCAGCAAGTTGAATCAATGGGAGTCTCTGAGCATGCCGTCGCTTTTTCACTTTAGTCGTCAGTAAAGCCAGGAAAGTGCTTTTATGTTGCCTGTGTTTGTGCCCCTTCTGGTTTTCATGTGTGCTTCT